ACGGTTCTCCTCAGCCCATCATCAGAGCCATGGTGAAGTGATCATGACCACCATCACCATGGTGATTCACTGATTCGTCCGGCTTCGTCGGACACGTGTCCGTGTCGCTGCGCTATCAGCCGCGAGCCAGGTGCTCGTCCGCCCACTTCCGGCATGGCACGGCTCTCTCTCGACAGCTCTGCGATGACTTCTGCTCGGCGTCGCTGACCTCTGACCTCAAGCGCTGCGCAGACATCGACCCAGCCAATAGCAGGCCTACTCGCGGGGGGCGAAACGCGAACGAATGGTGCGCCCCTGCACGTGTTGAATGGTGGCCCGATTTCGCATTCTCCGCGCAAGTTCACTGAACTTTATTGGACCTCGCGTCCTTCCGGCGGCGCGTGCGCACGTCACGCACAGATAGAGTGCGACTGATGCACTCTCGATAGCCTCGATTGCAGGGCTGCTCGACCTGCGCGGCCGCTGTGTCGCGCAGGGCCGTTCGACCCTCGGTCGCCTACGTCGGACGGGCCGGTCAATGTCCGTGGAACAGGCACGCCTCAGTCGCGTAGAGAGGCGGGGGGGGGGGGGGGGAGGGGGAGCAGGTGCTAGTGGTCGAAGTGGGGGAATCGGGTGGGCGTTGCACGCTGCAACGGTCAGTCACTCACAGCGGGGCGTCCGAAGTGTGGAGGGAGGGGGAGAGGGGCTGCCGGGGAGAGGGGCAGGTAGGGGGAGGAGGGCAGATAGAAAGGGGGGGGGGCAGACTGGGCGAGGGGGCAGGCATCAACAAGGGAACTGCCAGACGCCATGCCATCGTTACAGAGCGTTCCTGGTTCTGATGCCAGGAATGACCAAGAAATCAGCGTGGAATCAAGCCACGGATCCAATAAGAACCAGGATCCAGCACGGAATAAAACTAAGAAAACCGACTGGAACCAAGATGTAGTCCGACACAGAGCCGAGAAGTCCAATAGAAACCAAGAGCCAGTCTGGAATATACACGGGAATCCAACAAAAATGAAAAGTTGACGGCAAGCTACGGCAAGGGATCCCGCAAGAAACAAGATTCCCGCGTCTGACCACAGACCCATCAAGCACCACGATTCAGCTTGGCATTATGCTCATGAATCCACCAAGAACCAAGCGCCGACACAGTTTTGCGTCAAGGGAACTAGCAGGATCCACCATCATGCCTAGAATTTTTGTGAGGAGCCATTGTTCGCTCACACTGCGCACTCTTCACAGACCCCGGAACTTGGGTGTGACTTCCAGGGTATAATCCATGAGATCAGGCTCGCATTCAAGGGGATGGGGTTATCAGAGAGCTTACCCCCTTATCAAAATTGGGGTGTTTAAACATGCATGCAAATGAATGTCGACAATAAATAATCACAGAGCACACGTGCGAATAAGCAGATTGTGCACCGTTTGAAAAATTGCCGTGCGTATGCACCATGCCAAATATGTTTGTTTTTTTCATTTTTGCTCACCATTGCAAAACTCTGCATCATCGTAACATGATTGGTTGGCTTATATGCTTTTACTTTGTGTTTGGCGAACAAAGACGTTCTGCGTAAATTATCATGGCACCGGTGCGTGGTGAGTTGTGAATTTAGAGAGAAAACCGTTAAGATCATAAAAAGGCAGCGTGGAAAACCTTACGGACCCTCAAATTGGGTCCGTATGTTCAAGGCAGGAGTTACGCCTTACAACGGACGTAAGGGTTCGTTGAGATACTGTACTGAAATAACGCTGATCAATGGAAATGCGCACAGAACTAGCATGCCAAAAGCCAGAGCGTTTCAAGGCTGCATGTATATTAAAGGGGGTGTCCCACCTTTGGAGTTTGTTTCAAAAGCATACATTAGTGAAACCTCAGGACTAGTCGCGTCTAATAAAAGCACTGGGCACTGCCCCTGCAGCACCGTCAAGACAATTAGGATATCAATTTGCATATGTTTCTAGGCTGACTTATGCCATGTGGCGCTTTGTGACAACACTACCCTTCTTCCCTGCAGTCGCAACCACCGCTGCCATGACAGCCACCGTGCGCACCTCTTTTGGTGTGAATTAAAAAGCTTGTGACTGGTACAGCGAACAGGGGCCTGTTACCGAGAAATTGGATGGTTGAAGTTTGAACCTGGGCGTCACATGGATTATGTGATATTCCCATTCCCAAAGTCAAAGTCTGCCTCGAAAAAATCCCTTTGGTAAACGCCGTCTAGGTGGGACACCAAGGCCGTAGTATGGCGCTACGTTGAAGTCGCGGGATAATAGCTTCATGTTTGCATGTTTTTTGGTGTAAAAGGAGCGTTTTGATCTTTCATAGCATTTATTACGCAAACATTTTGACAACATCATGGAACAAGCAAGGCAAATGAAATGTATTGTTTTCAAAGTGGTGAACATAGAGTTCAATGAAATTTTTCTCGCAGAGTTAGAAACTTCAGTGCGGAGCTATTCAGAACGATTTCGAGAAAAATGGTATTGCTGATCAGATCGTGTGCGTCTGATTCGACAA